CGGGGGGGGGGGGGGGGGCGGTAGCCCCCCCAGTTTTTTGGGCAGTCGGGCAATATTCGATTAACAGTCGGGCAATTTTGGTTTGTTATAAAAATAAAGGGGGGGGGGAAGGTCGCCGAAATAATTTTTCCGGAAAAAATTTTTCGGTACTAGTCGGGCACAATGCCGAGAAGTCGGGCAATTTTATTTCCGCCCCCCCCCCCCTAATTTTTCCCTTCCGGTACGCCCATGGCGATTCCGGTGCAGCGCTCTAACCAACTGAGCTATTGAATTTTGAATTTTTTATTGAATTTTAATAATTTGCCAATACAACTTTTACAAACAAATACACACAAATAAATGAAAAATAGAATTACATATGGCGAGGAAATCCAAAAGAGAAACCTAAAGGCTGATGAAATCATGGATTTCCTCCCAGAAATAAATTATAGAAAATTATATAAATAAGCAAATGCAAAATGGCAACACCAAACATTAAATGTAATCACAGGGGGTCCAACTAAGAGCTGTGTTATGAAATCAATATGAATAAAACATTAATTAAGTAATATGAATAAAACATCATAACGTAATATATTTAAATTATTGCACTTACTTGTATAAATCATAAGAGCTTGTATTTGCAGTGAATAGCTTTTAACAGGGCGCTTATACACGCTCAGAAAATCGCTCAAAAACACTTGATTCGAACGATTGTTCCTGCCTCCTCCGCAGGCCCTTACTATTTGTAGATCAGTGTATATATAGACATATCAGTTTAATATATAGATCAGTGGCTGAACAAATCTGTTGTGATGCATGCTGGGATCGTCCCGCGCGCCCCCATTAATTTTTTTTCGTCTTTTACTAATTAATTATTTGATAGCAAGCGACTGGGGACGAGGCAGCGATTGTTCAAATATGGCGAATAAATTGACTTATTACATGACGTTCCAACGAAAATAACAGCAAGGATTGCGGGCGTGAGCGGAAGGCGAGGGTAATAGATATTAATAGAAGGGATGAAACACCGGTAATGCGATCGTGTGATGTGTTCCATAAGTAGCCTGTTCTCTCGGAAAATTCCAAAACGCCTCCTGCCAACTCCAACAACGCCTAAGCGCTTAATTAATGAAAATAAACATTGTTTAGCTATACCGGCTAATATGAAATGTTTAAATGTAGCGACCAACGTTTTTTTTTACATTATTTAGTTTTATTATTATTTCGTCATACGTCACGAGAACAGGCTACTTATGCTGCCTCCTCCGCAGGCCCTTACTATTTGTAGATCAGTGTATATATAGACATATCAGTTTAATATATAGATCAGTGGCTAGCCTGCGAACAGGCTCACTGGGAGAAAGGTGAGCCTGCACGGAACCATGCGTTTTATTCATTCATCCCCTTTTCGCATCTGCTAAACGCTAACCAATCAGCGTCGACTGCGATAAATAAACTGTCAACCGTCAAATTGACGCAAGGCGTGTACATTGTGCAACATGAACAATAATAATACAAAGCATTAGCGGGCCGCACAATATATTACTCGGAAAAATATAGAATTCTTCAAATATTAAATAGATATCAATACACATACAAATATAAAGCCGAATAAACTACCATTGGCTTTGAATGTACAGTAATACTTGTACTATGTGCGACTGAAAGAACAATGCTCTGAATATTTTGAAGCTATTACTAAAATACGGTCAGATAGATTGGGATTTGGAATACCGAATACGTTTAAAATTTTACTAACTGTGGTCTAAATAAATGATAAATGAGCATGTATTTATTAATTTCTTCGAAATCACGAGTGTGCCAATAGTGGAAGCCGTATCGACGACGAAATTGTCAGCAGTTAATACACAGTAAACAGTAGAACGTTTAATGTACGATATATATTTATCTAAATGACATGCCAGCGAGGATCGACAATATATAAATTATTCGTACATATTTGGGTATCTTTTGTATGCCTTCGCTTGCTGACTTGCTCACTAATGAGAATAATCCGTGAAGCCACGACGACCTCAAAATGTACTATACTATAGTCTGATGTCAATCCGAAGACGAAGTTCAGAATACTGTTATAGTTTCGTATATTGGATTTAAGCGATAGATTCAAGTCATTTATGATAGACTTTTTTGCGGTGATGCTTTGCTATTGCTTTTGGTTTCCATTTCTAGTTTTATTTGTTCGATAGTCCTATAATATATAATATTAAAATGAATAAAGTTCAAATTCTTCAAAATGCTGTTGTTGACATTTGCTATTTTTAGTAATTTTGTCAACGAGTGTAAGCCAATCAGAAGCCTGCGTTTCTATACGAACGCCACTACCAAGAAAACCTATCATCCGTGCAGGCCCTCTATTCTTCGCGCCGCCCGCAACCCAGGGCCTGTTCGCAGGCTAATCAGTGGCTGAACAAATCTGTTGTGATGCATGCTGGGAAGACGAAAAAAGCTCCGCAACTCCTCCCCTTCCCATCGTCCCGCGCCCCCATTAATTTTTTTTCGTCTTTTACTAATTAATTATTTGATAGCAA